AGTAAAAAAAAAAAATCTTTACTCCTTAAGCCTCATTAAGTGGCTTAGTTTATAAATCTATTTTCCATCCTCTAGATGGCGAATGTAGGCCTACTTGCTGAAGTGTGTGAAAATATCATGCGAGCTAGAAGAAGCCAAATGGCATTGCACACAATGGAGAGGAAAATTAGAGAAGGAAACTATAAAGAAACATTGAATCGATGGCATTAACTTAATAGTGTAGATTACCGATTTTTTTTACAAGCCAAACGACTTCGAAAGGACAGGACAGCTTAAAAAGCGGAATGAAATTGTGACAAATGCCAGAAGTCTTAACATTTAGTTACATAAATTTTGAGAAAATATGCTGGGGTTACTTTTATTTTAAACTCTGTCTAAACTATTTATTTATTTATTTATTTATTTATTTTTAATCTTTCGACAAAAACAGAAAATTTGGACAGGGGTGCCGAGGAAAAGCAAAAGTTTGAAAAACTGTCATCAAAAGATGTGCTTAACCAAACCACTGCCAACAAAACAATACAAATATTTAAACATTAAAAAGAACGAAAGTAAAAAAAAAAGACAAAAAAAAAAAAGACAAAATGTATTGTCATAAGGTGATGTCATCACGACCATGTTTATGTATGTCACGTGTTTTTTTTTTTCAACACGTTTTTTTTTTTTTTTTCAAGCTAACTTTTAGGGGGTGTGGCAAAAACCATGCAATTTGCTTGTGGAGTGGCCCCATTAGTCTACTAGCAGTAGTTATTGGCATCTAAACAACGCTCATTTATTTCTGGAAAAGCTTCCAAACGTACGGCATCCAAGCCATGTTGTCGTACAAATTAAGAGCCAACCCCAGGCAGACCACACTTCATCACACTTTCACCACAAAATCTCAAACAAATTCGGTCAGTAATTTGAAGAATGAAGACCTTGTTTCCTAGTCCATTCTGTTTTTAAGCGTTATGCTAATGATTTGTTTGCAATGATAGAAATTTTAAATAATTAGGTCTATGCTGATTATATGTTCGTGACATATGTACCTAGTGATGACCATTATGAAATAAATTGGGGTTTTTTTAGCTGCTGAACGTTGTTGAGTAAGTTCATCAATACAAGTATAAAGGAACCATATATAATACGCCATCATTAAAAATACATACATATCCTTTCGTAAAGCCAATCATCGACGCTTCTTCTCAAGAAGATTACACAAATCATGAAGTTCTAACACGTTTTACAACGCAGTTATCCAGGGTGCTTTGATGTTTATTCTGAATTGTTACCATGGTAATTTTTCGATTATGAAAAAGGGCAATTTGTGCGAATTGTTAAAAGGTGCAAATGATGCATTAGGGGAGATTTTATTGTTGATTCAAGCATGCAGCTATATTATAATCGTAGGAAGCAGACATTAAGTGCAGTAATGAATGATGAAACACATGTCATATCATCTCAATTGAAGTTATTAAAATGGTGTTAAGTTGAGGGTTCAGAAGTTATGTTACGATACCGACACTTCATCTTATAAGATTTTAACTACAATAATGGTAAAGAATTTATAATGTGTTTCATTGGTACATCCAGAAATTTCGTTCACTAATTTTTATTATCGATAATAAATGAAGAGAGCAGCTTAGCTCAGTCGGCTAAACTGGTGGTAGCCACTGTGTGTGCGCTGAACCGTGGAGATCTCTAGGTCCCCAGTTCAATTCCCATCGCTGCTCTCTTTGTGTTTCAGCTGGAAGGCTGAAGTACAAGTTACGATAGCGCATTTCCTTTCGGGTGAGAACGTTTAAGCCGTTGGTCCCGTGTGCAATATGACCCGTGTACACGTTAAAGAACGCAGTACACTCTTCGGAAAAGAATAGGGGATTGTCTCCCGGCGTACTGCCCAATTCACCACCAGAAGTACCCCAATGGAAACAAGTCTCCGGACTTAGTTGATTATCCTTGATGTGATTAATTTTAAAATAATTTCTTATCCTAAACAGTTGCCATAGAAGGACAAATTTAACAGTAATTTGAGGACGCAACAGTACATTTAGCTGGTATCTTGTATCTTCCTATTTCATTAGACATTTTAAGTGTAATTAATCTAAAAGTGGGTGCTTTTCTTTAGCCATGTTATTTTTTTTATATTGTATTATTATAAACATAGTTATGTAATCCCTTCAACAACACTCCCACGCTTCGCATTATTTTTCATTAGTTTCTGCAACATGTTGCTTATCTTGAAAGTACTTATTAAGGTGCTTTTAGTCTCATGAAATAATTATATTGATGTAAACCTACATGCCCGTTAAATGTAAATGTCGGAGGATAGCGCTACCTTTCTTGAAAATGGTCAAATTTTTAATTTGTACAACATAGATTTTTTTTTGTTAAAACATTTCCAATCATTGCTGAATACACTGCCACTTTGTTTACCCAAGTTCCAGTGTTAGTACTAGCTGTATATTATAGATATTAGACATCTATTATCTTAAATATTCTATAAGACAATCTTCATACGTTTGAAGTGCTAGTACTAGTACTTTGGAATCAATTGTAAAGATCCGATATATTAAGCATTATTCATATTTTCCTAAAATTTAACAAGAGAATGTGATTGACATTGATCAATAGAATCAATGACATACAGGATATACTGTTACGTGGCTGACAAGTAACGTGTTAGCTAGTCCCCTTTTGCATGGATGTTAAGTTCTTAAAAGAGACACGGTTATGTTTTAATGTGACGATTCATATTACAACCATAGTCATTTATATGTATGTTGTCAGATACGCGATGTTTATCTATAAACATAAATGATCGATACAGTAAACTTTCAGCCATAATCTGATGATGTGTTGTCCACATGTGAAGACTGTGTATACTTTGTAACCACATTTGAAAGCCACCATATAATAAACATGCATGTTTCCGCGTACATTCCTGTTTTGATGACGTTTATTTTGGCACTTTAGAAATTCAAGACCATTACTATTATTATTTTCAAACGTCTAATTTAAGTAACTGAGATCTAACACATTGTATAACACCACGTAAGCACTAATTTCACACACAGTGAGGTTGAAAATAATATGTACATAAATGTGGAAGTGGCAACAACATTTTAACTTTAAAGACACAATTAAGCCCTTGTCTTTATGAAAGGATGTGACTACAGCACCTTTCTACGAGAGGTTTGGTACTACACCCGTATGTATTTTGGCACAATGACCCTGCTACTTACTGGTTAATTGGTAAACATGGTAATACATCTACAGATTTCAGATAATAAATCAGAACTGAGTGCTTAATAATAATCAGTGAGATACGATGTGTTGTGAAAAAATGTGTTCATTAGAACAATTTTGTGTATCATACATGATTTGGGGTCTTTCACAAGCTTACTATGTGTAATGTATAGGTCTGTCTGTTTCTGCCAGTGGTGTAACGCCTATGAAAAACATTTTATTTACTAAACAACATTAACATAAAATAAGACCGCTTATTTTTAACATGCGTCATGAAATCGACAGGCAGACTTATTTAGTAGCCGTAAACTAGCAAAAACTGAGGAATACGTGTCTCATTTCAAGTTGATAAATCCTTAAACCCTTTTAAATGGGTAATTAAATTACTTCAATATTTTAGAGAAATTCTAGATTCTACACTACTAATCTAGGGCAATGCATTATTTTCATATGGCAGTCAGACGGTCACATAAAACAGTCAGCAGACGACAGACATCTTTTTTTGCAAAACCGGATGCAAGAGAAACTACTAATAAGTGGAAGAGCACAGTAAAGTAAATAAAGTTGTGCTGTTAACATATTTTAATGGATCGTCTTTGCCGAATGGCATTTCTATTATTGATAAAATATTTTACCAAAATCCAGTTTGATGCAGTCAACTCGTTGTCTTGCACACCCTTGTTTTCATTATTTGAGATTTATTGTTCTCGAAAACGTATGGCTGCTGAAACATCATTCAAGATATTTTTACAAGTACTGTTCGCCTTGATGAAACAACACTTTGCAGCTCATCTTCTCTCTCAAAATCACTCTCCAATTAACTTCTTTACATGTCAATTCCTGTTCATTCACGTTCTCTTTTTCCTCGGTAATGTTCAGTTGTAAGTTCAACCTCGCATTAATTCAAAGCGTTTTTGTTGAAATGCCAAACACACGCGGATTATTGATTGAATCATTATGATTACTAATTGTTTTCGTTGGTACCAAGGGAAAATAATGTTTTTTTACCAGGCAAATAACACGATAATATACTGAATCGATACGACGAATGAACGAAGCAAGATACGGTGTCAAACATACTGGTTACTAGAACAAATCAATATAAAATAAAGCCGAGATGTTGGCTATAGTCGCGTTTCTTTTGTAGAATCTCACTCGAGCCGTATGTGATTACATTAACTTTCTGAATTCTGAAGGTCGAAACAAATTGATGAGATTGAACACCGATTAGTTGACAACAAAACATGAATACAATTAGAATATTCACACTAAAACTTCATTATTATTATTCTCAAAAAATTATTATTATTATTATTATTATTATCATTATTATTATTATTATCATTATTATTTTTATTACTATTATTATTATTATTAATATTATTATATTTATTATCATTAACATTATCATCATCATTATTGTAATGATGATTATTTAATTGATATTTTTAGTAATTTTAATGATTTTATTATCATCATCGTTATCATTATTTGATAAAGCTGTCGCTTGGTGGTTGGAATGCTTGGCTTTCCAGCCTCCTGGCTGTGCTCAAATCTGATCACAGTAAGAGTTTTTTTCTCATAACCAAAACAGCTCTACTCTATAAGACAGTTTATGCAGAGCAATTTTTGTGTATGTTTGTATTGTGAAAGGATTGCCCCTTAGTAAAGTGATTAAATTCACTATTACATACACTTATACAAATAATGTATATATCTGTCTCTTATACACATCTAGATGTGTATAAGAGAAAAATGTTGTTTACTTGTAGATGTGTCGGCTAGCCAATCGTCGTATAAACTTGATGATGCTATTAACCATATAGACTTTGGCCGCTTCCACATTAAGTTCTTGTGTCTAGTTGGCTTAACCTACGTAAGTAAACCCATTATTGAAAACTTGCTACTTTAGAGTTCTTTACTAATCATTGTTAAAATTAATAATTATGTTAATAGTTATAATAATAGTAATTATTATTATTATTATTATTATTATTATTATTACATGAATTATTCATTGAATGTGAGAAAATAATTCGATTTAAAATATACACACAGCGCACTGCCCTCAGTCGTCAAAGTGTATCGATTTTCTCGGTGTTTAGACTATTATTTTGTGCTGTGTTTGTACAAGGTGATTCTTCCTGATTTAATGTACCATCTGATTCCGTCACTCTCACCTTTTCGTTCTTTTTACCCAAATTATGCAATTTACGTTAAGCTATAAACATACAAGTATACCTGTCTCTTATACACATCTCTACACTGCCAGACACATATTTTACATCAAAAATAAGATCTCAAACTTGTCATCCTTACTGTCAACTTGTTATTGTAATCATTATGACCATCGCCGTCCTTATTATCACTGACATCCCCAACTTTATTAACATTAACTGGGTCCAAAGAAAATTCCCTGCCATTGCCATCTCTGTCACTGTCATTATCACTGCCTTTCTCGTTACTGCCATTATTTGCTTTCTCATGTGCTTGTCATCATCACTGCCTCCTTTGCCATCATTACTGCCATTTCTTTCTGTTGTCACCATCGCTGCCATCACCGACATTACTACCATCTCCTTCCACCGTCAACATCACTACCACTGCAGTAACGGTCATTATCAATATTATCTCTCTATTGCAATTATCACTGTAATCCTCTGTCATTGCCATCATCACTGCCATCTCCATCATTGTCATCATTAATGCCACATTTCCTTCCATTGCCACCATCGCTGTCAGCACTGCCATTACTGCCATCTCTGTATCCTGTCTCTTATACACATCTAGATGTGTATAAGAGACAGTATATACATATACGTGAAGAAACATAATATAGGCACGGGATCAAAAATTTAAGTACGCTAAATAATAGCCATATTCATTTTGCAATAGCTAGCCTATATTATTTGTAATATCATTTGTACTTCTAAATAAAATTGCTTATATTGATTATGTGACGTAGATTCAAGTGACGGATAATATTAACTAGTCTTCTATAATGACATGAAATACGAATGTCTGTGGAAATAATAATTAGGGTGGTTTGTGTAGTCATCAAAACAGCTGCAAATCTGCCCATAAAATATATACTTACCATTACGTTTATTGACATTTTTACTTTTTAAATACTAACTGAAACTATCGATCGTAATGTGAACAATGGCGCCAATTTATTATATAGCTTTTGCACATGCGCACTCGATAGCCGCTTCCGTCTTATGAATATGAAAATGGTGAGCTCAGTTGTTATGAAAATGTACGATTAATATACGATGTGGATATTGTGTATTTTGTGTACACATTTCTTAATGGTTATTATATCAGTGTACAATAACGGCTTATTAAAGTAATTATTGCTGTTTTGTGTCAGTGAGTTTTAATATTTAAAAAACATGTGAGGCACGTGTACTAAGGTCTATAGAAATATTACTTTAAATATGAGGAATTTATAATGAAGAAATTAAAGTTCGATTAAAATTTAATCACATTAACTAAAGTTGGATCAAGGGTGGCGCCAGGATTTACCCGACGGGTGTTGGGGTGTCCGATGTTCATCGTGGTGGGGGGTGGGGGTGGTGTTTCCAACCAGAACCTAAGTGGATGTGGTCGGTCGTCATTCAAAACGTCTTGGAAGTAGTCCTAATTTAGGGGTGTCAAAGGACTATTTAATCGTTTTTAAAATCTAATAATATGTAAAAATTTTTCCCCGAATAATTGTGTTTCGTCCCCCCATCGGGGGAAACACCCCAAGACAGGGTACTCATGGCCCCCACGAGCGCTACTGCTGAGTGGAATTACTTACCAAATTCCAATAAAACACAGTTTAAACAGTTTGATATTGGCTGATAAGAATTTTGCTGATTTACACAAAAAAAAAAAAAAGATTTCCAGCCAGATTAATGCATAAGATTATGCAAGGAACGAAGTATTATTGCGTCAGTAATTGCAAGGAAAATACATATCCTGTTCCAAGTTTTTGATTGAAAGCCAACTACTTACAAAAATTAAAAGTAAACAATCAGAATCGAGAATTATTCTATAAGTATAAAATAACTTTACATAAACGGAATATTTAATCGATTTTGAGCTGTTTTCTAACTTGCAATAATATACCATCATTACGTCACAATAATTTGTGTTTTGTAGATGGCAACAGCGTGTGACGTGGGTATGATATCTGTGATTGGTCCATCTTTGAAATGTTACATGGGTTTCGATAGCCTTCAAATAGGTTTATTATCTTCCGTAAGTATAGCATCATTATTACATACAGTGAAACACGTCCTCTGGTGTCGGTCTGTCTGTTGTCTATCCGTCTGCCGGGGTTGTCTAATTGTCATATTTATATTCATTTGTCTGTCATGCCAATGCTGAACTTTAACCTTAATGTCATCTCAATAATGTGATGACAATATTACCATTTAATATTGCCATCACATTATGCCCCGAATTGTAATTATAACCGATTTCGTCATAATTATTAATAGGCTTAACTGCCAATAAAAATTAATTATTTAGTTTAAAATTAACCAATAAACTGTCATTATAAGGCTACTGTTGAAATTAATAGCATAATTGTCATGACTACACTGCCAGACACATATTTTACATCAAAAATAAGATCTCAAACTTGTCATCCTTACTGTCAACTTGTTATTGTAATCATTATGACCATCGCCGTCCTTGTTATCACTGACATCCCCAACTTTATTAACATTAACTGGGTCCAAAGAAAATTCCCTGCCATTGCCATCTCTGTCACTGTCATTATCACTGCCTTTCTCGTTACTGCCATTATTTGCTTTCTCATGTGCTTGTCATCATCACTGCCTCCTTTGCCATCATTACTGCCATTTCTTTCTGTTGTCACCATCGCTGCCATCACCGACATTACTACCATCTCCTTCCACCGTCAACATCACTACCACTGCAGTAACGGTCATTATCAATATTATCTCTCTATTGCAATTATCACTGTAATCCTCTGTCATTGCCATCATCACTGCCATCTCCATCATTGTCATCATTAATGCCACATTTCCTTCCATTGCCACCATCGCTGTCAGCACTGCCATTACTGCCATCTCTGTATCACTGTCATTCTCTCTACCACTCCAGTAACGATCATCATCGATGTCATTTCCCTATTGTATTATCATTGTAATCCTCTGTCATTGCTATCATCAGTGCCATCTCTGCAATTTTCAGCATTATTGCCATTTCCTTCCATTGCCACAATCACTGCCATCACCGCCATTACTGCCATCTGTTCGTCACTGTCATCCTCACTACCACTCCAGTAACGATTATCATCAGTGTCATCTCTATATTGCATTATCACTGTAATCCGCTGCCATTGCTATCATCACTGTCATCTCCGTCATTGTCATCATTAATGACACATTTCCTTCCATTGCCACCATCACTACCATCACCGCCATGGCTGTCATCTACTTTCAACTTCCACCTCTTTACTACCACGCCTGTCGGTCATCATAAATGTCATCTCCGTATTGCATCATCACTGTCATCCCCACCGGCCATCTTCACTGCCATCTACATCATTACCATCACGTCAGTCACGCTATTGCCATCATCACTGCTATCCCGCCATTGACATTATCACTGCCATTCCGTCATTGCCATTACCACGACCATCCTTCTCATTATCATCATCACTACCATCCCCGACAACCCTATCCTCCCAGCCATCCCGTTATTTCCGTCATCACTGTCGTCAGTGGTCACCATCACTGCCATTTGTCATTGCCACCATCAATACCATCCCTTACTATCGTCATTGCTATTTCGTCATTTTAATCTCCACTGCAACCTCCAACATCAAAACACCATCTCTCTTTCATGCTACATTATCCATCAATCATCACTGCCATATGTTATCATTGAAGATGTTATGATAGTGTTACCCGTGTTTTACCAATTATTTATTATCTCATATACTTCATGGTTAATTCATTTTCGCTGAACATAGAATGTCTATAATATTCAACATTATTCATCACCATTTGTCCATATCAGGTATCGTGTGTCGGTCTATTAGGTATCATTACAATTAGGTTAAACATTCTATTAATGTACTTCGGCGTTTCGATAGCCATCATTCGCACTTTAACTTGTCTCTCCGACCTTATAACCTAACATTGCTAAATTATCCTCCCCAAGAAACATGAGTGTCGTGTATTTTTGCCAAGCTCCATGATCTTTAGTGCAACTTAACATTGATCTTTCAGAATTGATTACATTAGATTCAACATATCTTTCTACATGCCTACTTTGACATAGAAACACGCAATCAGCGGTCGTCATCTCAAATTTCGAAGTATCAGATCGCCTGTAGTGCTTCTGAAAATCTAAAGGTTTCAGTGATTGATATTTCAACTGAACTTCTCAATCAATACTTCACTAGGTTCAGTTGACATAGATTATTGCGAAATAATGTGATTGAAAATTAAGATTAAGGATTTTAATTTACTGAGTTTGCATTACGATGAGTAATACGTAATTCCACCACAATGATACAGGTCTTGTAGATACAGAGCGCGGGGCGTCACATGCGACCTCTCATTTCATGTATTTTCTTTTCCAGAATTTCACTTACACAAATTTGGGTTTTTAATTTTGAAATTTGATGCAAGGAAGAAGCAAAAGAAACAAAGTTATTAACATTTGCCAATTTTCAACCAACATTACAGTAATTAAATGGTGCTATTCTTAGCTTCAAAAAGTCGTTGCACTAATCTTCTGAGTACATAACACTGATAAATGAATACGAATTTCCCATCTTTCCCCCATCCTGACGGTAGTGTGAGTGCTATTTTGCCAAAGGGCAGCTCTTTAGCGATAAACACCAACATAACTTAACCTCCAACCCCGTTGAAAACCAATAATAAATTAACTCCCATTACCCCATTCTTCACTCATTTTCTGCACAATAAATTGAGTGTTTAAAAGGTTACCTGCAATTCAGTGTTAAAACCGATAGCAATTACACATGAATTATTCATTGAATGTGAGAAAATAATTCGATTTAAAATATACACACAGCGCACTGCCCTCAGTCGTCAAAGTGTATCGATTTTCTCGGTGTTTAGACTATTATTTTGTGCTGTGTTTGTACAAGGTGATTCTTCCTGATTTAATGTACCATCTGATTCCGTCACTCTCACCTTTTCGTTCTTTTTACCCAAATTATGCAATTTACGTTAAGCTATAAACATACAAGTATACACATCGACTTTCGACATCATACCTGTACATATTAGCATCATTATCATTATGAATATTTGCATCATCATTGTCTGTATTATTATTATTTATATAGTATTCTTTTTGTTAAATTAAGAATGTAAAATGTAAACAAAAATTCGTTTAATCTTTTGATATAAAAATAATATCACCGCCTTGTTTTCACGATAGGCATACTTCTTACCACGAATAATAGGACAAGCCAAATTCGGCGAATTTGCTGACCGATTCGGCCGCCGGCCGGTAAGTAGGCTTTGAAAAATCATGTGAACTGCAAACAATATAAGCATGCTGGGTAAAGACTACTACAGTACGTGTAGTAAATTCATGTATCGCAATGATACATTGAAACGTTATGGGTGCAAAATGTACACTATATACAGTCTCCGAGATAGTAATCTATTAGTGTGCGGCCCATACGCCAATAAGTACTGAACTAGTCTGCGTAAATCTAGAGCAACTTATCATGTTTATTACGGCATCACTTTATATTAATAATATGTATAATATGTAAAATGGTGTATATGTTCATATCTCATTCCTCTTTTCATTATAGTTTGACGTTTTAAATGCTCTTCTCTTTTTTCTCTTCCTTAAGGCTATTGAGCTGCGAACATAACCCCAGCAAATACAAATCCTTTTTTAACATTGCAAACGCGTTGTAAACGTTGATGTTACGTTAGGTTACTTCAATATAGCGTTAACACGACGTTGCAGCCAAGTTTGTAACGTTATTTAGTCAGAAATTACGTTATAGTTACGTTTTTGTGGTTCTACAAAAAGAAAGTTTTGCAACTGCAACGTTATAACGTACGGTATTGTTGGCTGGGACGTGCCCTCTATTATGCAGACGTTACGCTGATTTAATGTTTATTGAATACAAAATGTTTTGTTCTTTTACAGATTATAATGTTGTTAAACGTCTGGCATTTCTTCTATGTATTCCTTATAATATTTTGCCCTAATAGCTTTTGGTTAATGCTTCTACGTTTAGTCAGCGGCGCATCAGTGTCCCGAAGAGTTATGTAAGTAGCGTCTAAACATCCATACATTCACAAGCATATTTTCTGTATGTTGACTGTAAGCCCATTTTGTAAACGTATGTATATCTATAAAGCTGGTCACATGAAAGCAATGTACACGCGTTCCTTAAACTCAAGCCACGCTGTGACGTAAGTCACGTCACCGGAGTTGATTGTGATTAACTGCTCAGTTAATCACAATCAACTCCGGTTGATTGTGATTAACTGCTCAGTTTAAAGTCCTTACGTGAACCCGTAAAGGTACACGGATACTGACGCACACTCAGTCGTTTAGCTATGACTCTCGCACAGCACGCATACACACAGCTTACCCTATAATATAAATCAAGATAGCGGTTAACACTCTGAAGCTATATATCACTCATCAAACAAGGTAAATACAGTGTTGGAATACAGGACCTATTGTAATTATACATCGCGTGTTGCATAGCTCTCCACGAATGTTGGCCTATAAATAAATACATTGTGTAATAAAATTCCTCCGACGGTATTCGAACCTGCGACCTTTTGCTGTCAAGGCGCGCGTCATAACCATTAGACCACAGAGGCTTCATTGTTGAACAGATACAAATAACCGTCAGGTACACTCTATTACAAAATGGGCGTACGGCTGGGAAAAATAGTAGCATATAATATAAATTAATCAGGTGGATACGTGGGGAGCTGTCTCTTATACACATCTAGATTTGTATAAGAGACAGATGTTATATTATATTATATTATTACATGTATCCTGCTGTCGGTGTTTATAAGCCTGTCAATCTATCTACATGACTTGATGTTTATCGGTCTGTTTATATTCATAGTAACCTATCTGTCTAATTGTATCGTTACATGCTAAGCATCACGATAATTTACAAAGCGAAGATTAAAACCGTTAATTCATAAAGTGTAATTGCTTGTCTGTCAGAAAATACGATTAAATAGTCTTAGGTTTCTTCTTTAATTATCTTCTGTCATTCATTACATTAGAATCCTAAGATTTTGCTACATGAATCCAAATAGATCGACGTGTTGTAGTAGCTCTAGGCCTGCATGCCAGCAAACGTGCAATGTTTGTTTAAAGGCCTGTCAAAAAACTGTTGTGAGCCCATATATAGTCATGATGTGCCTATATATGGTCATAATGTGATGCCATATAGGCATGTCACATGCCTATAAAAATTAAAATTAAAATTTCATAGCGTGGACAGCGCTTTACTCTAACCAAGGAGGAAAAAAATAAACATCTAGTCATAAAATCGCTACACACTATCAACGACATCTAGCTTTCGGCGGCTCTGATTGGTCGAATGGGTAGACTGATGGGTCTCAACTGCACAGTGTGAGGATTATAGTGAAAACACTGGAGCGACCGTAGCGATTTTATGGGAACAAGGCTTAATAGTAGACATGATAATGTACCCACCGCAGACAAAGTCGTCCACGCAATGTCAGTTCTTCGTTCCAGTCTGCTACTCGTCGTTGCGTCACGACCCCATGAGTTGCGTCGGCAGCCGGGACGCAGTGTATGCTGTGCTAACGATAATAGTTATTCGATCCTTGCTAAGTTTAATTAAAACATGAAAAGAAGCTATTTGTATTGTAATTTGATTAGCTTCATACTTCCATCGTTCTAGTACGGACGTAGGCCTATAATCCGACATCCACAAGTACGTGTGAAGGGTTATCGTCAACATAGCCTAGTCAATATAAATACACTTACATTGATGACGTCTACAGATATAGTTTCTATATGCGTATACTGAAAAAAAATCATTAAATTCCAGTTCAATACTTACATTCTCGTATAGGTCTACACCACATTCTTATTTCTGTACCCTCAATATAACAGAATATCTTTCTTTCTTCCATGAGATATTGACTTATTCCAAGTGTTTTCTTTTTCTATAGGGTAGGTTTATTTTCTGAGTTTCTTAAGCCGCAGCATCGGAAACTTCTTATCCTCCAACAAGTAAGTTTTTGTCTCACTGTTTATTGATGTTGTAATGTTACGTTTTCTTAAGAGTTAGTTAATATTTTCAAAATTTATTAATGTAATACGACATATTTAATATTACTCTGACAGAATTATATTTATTCGCGATACTGATGATATATTTACGACTCTAACCAGAGCACCATGACGCTTAAGCGTAACCGATGACGATGACGAGAAGATAAAACTGATAAATCAACAGAAAAATGAAAACTCCTTTTGTAGACACAAATATAGGTCTATGTATCAGTATCCGATAGGTAGAGTTGTACTCAGGAACATTGTTTGTGTCATAGTTATTAAAAGAATTGCTGAAATGTTTAAATTTATAATTGCAAATAAATGTGTTTTTGTACATTATAAAAACTAAATTTAGTCATAACGAAACGTAACAGACGGGAAAACTGAAAAAGGACGAAAAACAAACAATCAATGACCAAGACCTTTCTCGTACAGGCGGTCGTACAGGCGAATGCCATTCCACAAGACTACAAATGCGTTATGGCATATTTAGAAATGCTAGTAGGCCTACTGTATCATCTAACGTTTGAAGCCGAATAGCATACATGCACATTCAGACCAGGACGCCATAGATCCATATACACTCTCACTAACTATTACATTGTGTTTGCCAAAAAATATTTTTATACTTCTTGGTACGGATATTCTAGTAAGCGAAAGTAATATTCCTCGTCAATTTTACAAAAGAATTTATTGTTTATAATCTTAATGGACCTTTCTGCTAAACTCACCTTTTGGATATTTTTGCTAAAGTCCCAAAAAGATAGCGTAAACATACCTAAACACGAGTGTTTTCGAGGCACACGTGAGTTTGTGGGACAACGATGCTCTGATTGGTCAGTTTGACTGACACTCCGAAAATGTACATTATGTATTGCGCATAAGCTTCGCAGTCGAGTACTTCTCTGTCTTAAAATCTACTTTCTTTGATTTAGTTGTTTTGGATCATTGGTAGCGGAACTCGGTTTCTCCTCGGGGCTGCCGTTATTCCATGGTTGGGGTGGAGGAGCTATGTAGCATGTACAGCAATTCTCTATTTCCTGGTGATGATTATAAGCTGGTCCGTAAGTAGGCCTTCTTTGATTATTTAGTAAGGCAAACATCGCGTACGTGCAACATATTAACGTGTGAGAAATGCATATATTGCTTTCGTAGATGACACAAATCAGTGACGTTTACATAGCTACACAAAATGAATAATTTGATGATGTCTTACATATATATATATATATATATA